AAAAAAAAAAAAAAAAAAAAAAAAAAAAAAAAGGGCTGAATGAATTATGACTCGTAACTGTCCGTACGCTCCATGTCCTCTTGGGGAGGTTAATCCGTCGCTGACCAAGCTGTGCGGATTGTGACTGAAAAAATTGCCCCATATTTTCGACTGCTGTCCTCTCCCACTCTCCCGCTTTCTCTCTCTTTCACTCTTCCGCTCTCCCACTTTCTCACTCTTCCACTCTCTCACTCTTTCTTTCACTCTCCCACTCTCTCACTCTCTCGCTCTCCCACTTTCTCACTCCTTCACTCTCTCTCTCCCACTGTCCCACTGTCCCACTGTCCCACTTTCTCACTCTCCCACTTTCTCAGTCTCCCACTCTCTTACACTCTTCCACTCTCTCATTCTCCTACTCTCCTATTCCACCCAGCTTTTCCAACTCTCCCACTGTCCCATTCTCCCATCACCCTACTCTCCCATCACCCCACTCTCCCACTTTTCCCACCTGTCAATCTCATGCCTGAAGAGTTTCCCACAATCCCATTAACGGCAGTTTTTCAACAATAGCACGAACGAGACTGTTATGGCAGATGACGTCCCCAAGTCACTCGCAGCGGACGCTCTGATCTGTTCTGCTTGGAGATATCCGCCACCTGTCAGGCTCCGCTTGCTCTGCTAGACCATGCACCATGTATGAAATGGCATACCCCGCAGCCTCCAAATGGCAAATACTTTTTTTCGCAGTGCGACAAGCAGCTGACTTACATGGCAGCTTCGGCATGAGAAAAGTGCCAGTGGTGCAGCAAAATAATGCAAAAAAAGTTTAAAAACTTGAAGAAGTTCACACCCATTCAAATGCCATCGATTACAATTTCGCATGCACAACTTTCTGTCATAGCAGTCCAGAACATGTCCAGACTCCAGACCTCTGGTTGGAAGGAGCCCCCCCCCCTCCCCAGGGGCCTGCTGCAAAGAATTCCACACCCCTTGTCCGCCCAAGTCAGGGAAATTGAGGGAGTGTTTCGAGACCCCTTGTCCGCCCAAGTCAGGGAAATTGAGGGAGTGTTTCGAGACCCCTTGTCCGCCCTCGAGAGGAAAGAAATTCAAAGAATCCTCTTCAATGCGCATCTAAGCAGGCAGCAGCCTTCATATCGAGAACCCATCCTCGCTGAGAGCTCCTCTTTATTTAGCGAGAAGTTGTCGAGAACACATCCTCACCGAGAACCCTCTCCACTGAGAGCCATGAACCCTAAACCCTAACTTAGAATCCTCAGCAGTGAGAGAACCCCCCTGCACTGCACCGCACCGCATCCTCAGCGCACCCCACCCCTTGCTGAAGCGTGCGCTTTTCTCTCCAAGTTTTTCTCGCAATGGCCAGTGTCTTCAACATAATACTCAACCGCAATCACTGCCGCTCTGTCCTCAAAAGGCTCAATGGCAACAACGACGTACTCTCACCGGTTTCAGAGACTCCCAAGTGCGCTCGAGTCAACGGGTCATCGACAGTTGTAATCGGCACATGCAGATTCGCGCTGACTCGTCGCAGACGCCCGTCAATCGATGGTAACCGAAAAAAGTTAATAAAACCCAAAAAAAAACAGTTTTGTCCAGAGAAACTGTAGACCGTCCGCTGTCTACCCCGCATGTGGATGCAAAGGAGGTTTTTTTTACTAGTGTGAAGTTTCCCTCTTGGCTGGCCTCTCTCTCTGTCTGAGGGAACCAAAAAAGCATAGCGTGTTCCAACAGTGCTTCAGAGCCACCAAGGGTTGCTTTGCTGCACGACTTCACCACTTTCCACGATTCGCACAGACAGAAAGTCCGACAGGGTTTGATGCCTCCATGACTTGATCAGACGGAAAGTCAAACAACTCTTCCACCAGCAACGGCTAGCCTATAGAAGACGACAACCAAACAAACAGTCCGCACGTGATGTGCGTCATCATCATTATCGGCTCTGGTGCATCTGGTTTGTTCGTTGGTGGAATATGCCGGAGGCAGAGCAGTTAAGATCGGCCATTGTGTCGCCGATCTTAATACCTTTCTCGGCCTTTTGGCTAAGATCAAGTGTAGTATCTGTTATGATCATCAGTTTAATATCTGATCCGTGGTCCATCGCACCATATATATAAAAAAAAAAAAAAAAAAAAAAACGATCGGCGGTTCAATCGCCCGAGGTTGCAAAATCTTCTCTCAAGTGTGTGTTTGCTCTCCTCCAAGCAAACTCTACCTTCTTCCCCCAAATACAACGAACTGTCATTATAGCTGTATGTATTTGGGGTACCTTTCAGTCTAAATACAGGAATGATGACATGTCGTATCCGGGGGAAGAAGGTAACCCTTGAGCATCAGGGGTACCTTGTTTGGTGGGTTAAAGGAGGAGGAGCTTTATGGCAGAAAAACGTTCTACATGCACGGCAGCACGGCAGCTCCCCACCAATCGACAGGGGTCATCGGCAGGCTGGTGCTACTGCTCGTATCACTCCCCGCAGCACGGCCAGGAGATCTGAAAAAGAAGAAGAAAAAAAAAACACTGTGGCCCGTCACTCAGGTGGAAGCCCCTTTGAAGGCAGAAAACTCACGATGCCCTGTTCGTGACGATTGATATACCGGGTTTTACTCAAATTTATCGCCTTCTTCACCCGAATACAACGACGCCCGGTCATTTTATCGCTGCATATGGACTGAAAGTTCGATCAAATACAGCTATAGTAGCTGCTATACTAGTATGATGACCGGGTGTTCTAGCCGCCACAACATGTCCAGGGTTTGTTGCCAAGCAGATGCCCACATCATGCTTGTTTCCCTCCATCACTTCCACTTCATCATCACTGCATCATAATTGGTCTTCTTCATCCTCTTCACCCCACATACGATGCAGGCACTCCCTCACAACCCCTCATTACCCCTCATTAGCCCTCATAAATAACCGCTCATAACCCCTCATACATAACCGCTCATAACTCCTCATAAATAACCCCTCATAAATGACCCCTCATAAATGACCCCTCATAACACGCAACAAACCCCAAACCCCAAACACTTCTTCCCCACTGACCATAGGAAAGCTCGGATTTAGATTGTTAGGGGGAAAAAGCAAAGATTGTTTAGGAGGAGTGCCAATGCCCCCATCTTCACCTATAGGGGGAAAGAAAAAAAAATTGTTTAGGAGGGGTGAAGCCAATGCCCCTATCTTCACGTACATATGTCCATGGTTGCATGCCCACTTCACCAGGCCATGGCTGCCATGAGGGAGTCCGTGGGTGAAAAGAAACAACGAGAAGGAGAGCAACTGAAGGAAAAAGAGGCTTGGTAGGGTTAAGAAAAAGAAAGACAAAAAAAAACGGTACCTGGATATGATGGGTCAAGGCTCCATTTGCCTGCAATAAGGGATTGGGGTGCTTTGCAACCCGTAATTGAGCTTAACAAAAAAAAACAAAGGCAGGCAGAGTTAAAGGCGTATCACAGTACATATGGGCCATGGATTGCATCCATGAGGTCATGGTTTCAATTCCTATCAGCCTACCGTCTTCACCAGAACAGAGCGCCCGGTCATTATGGCCATATTTGGGACAACTTTCACTCTAGGTACAGTGATAATGTTACATACTGCATGTCACATGGGTCCCTTTCGGACCCGACCACTAGGCTAAGGGGTACTTAGACCAGCCCAGCCAAAGGTCGGACCCTTTCTCCCGGTAGGCCAGATTTGAGGCCACCGTTAGCATTCCTGCAGCAGACCAGGTCCAGGCCCAAACACATTACCGTTGGGCCTGGCGGCACTCTTGAAGCTGCCGTTCGCGGGTCTGATCTGAATCGTCAATCTGGACGACTCAGATCACGGCACGCTGGGCAGCATTGAGGCCGACCGGCCGCCGGCCGGTACTTAGGCCGGTCCAGCGGCCAGTCCAGCATCTTTGGAGCAGCGGCATAGAGGAGCAACCGCGCTGTGCTATTCTGGGTTCAGCGCAGCGCCGGAACTGCAGCGCTAAGTTTAGAGCACTGCAATAAGGGAGAGTGAGGAGGGGGACTTACCTGACCAGTAGCTTCGAGCGCCATAGCTCCCAGCAGCACAGCCGTCTTCCGCAGCAGCCAAGGCGCCACCTTGTCCATCAGGTAGGGCCTGGCACTACTCGCCATCTCCGTCCATGCTCTGCCCTCTCTTCTCCTTCCTCTTCCTCTTCAGACTTCTCCTTCTTCCTCCTCAGACTTCTTCTTCTTCTTCTTCTTCTTCTTCTTCTTCTTCTTCTTCTTCAGACTGGAGATTTTGATACGAGTTGGACAGAGACCAGTGAATGGAATTCGGTGGTAGGCTGTGATACTTACCGGATCCGAGACATTGGAGATAGTTGGGATTGATACCAGGCGGCATCACAGATTGGACACTGGTTACATTAGGATTCTGTACCTCCGACATTGGTGACTTATTGTCCACAACATTCTGATCTTTGTTCGGTGACATTTTGGACTACCATATCAGTGACCTTCTGGATTCTATCTCGGTGACATCTGGCGCTGCCTATACCTCCCACCTCCATCGTCTCTCCTACCACCTTTCATCTGTGTATGGTTGTACGGGGCCTGAAGCATCGTCTATGATTGGCTTCAGACCCCACGATCTCACGATTGCTTGTGCGTTGAGTGATGTCTGGGTGAGTTCAGTTTATGTGAGTCAGTCCATTTCTCAGACATCCACTGTATACATGCTCATCCTATATTGGTTGATCTTTGGTTCTGCCCATACTTGGTGAAGTATTCACCAGTATGCAACAGATAATGACCAGGTGTTCTATTCGGGTGAAGACGGTAGTGCCTGAATAGAGGGGGTCAGTCTTCCAGCGCCAGGGTGCACTGGTTTAAAACATAAGAGAGAGGTGGGAACTCCAGGGCGTCGGGGGCACGGTCCTTTCCTAAGGTTGTGCATGTTGGAGTGCTGGGTGAAGGGGGAGGAGAAATGCTGGGATGGGCGGCCGTCGAGGGTTGTTCCATGGTCTGGGCATGGGTGTGTCGCATATGCAGGTAGGTCGGCGTACCATGAGCAGAGACAGTGGCCTCTCACTCCTGAGATGGGGTTACAGCCATTGGGCCTGGCTCCACTACTCAACATCCCAAATGCATTCGGACTCTTTCTGGACCAGGTGCATTCAGACGCGGTCAACATTTTGATTGCATCGGGATGTTACGAGGTCCAGATGCAGATATAGTGTTGTAAAGTGGAGTGAGGCCCATTGTCATCTGGTTGGCTATCATGTCCATAGGGACCTCCAGCCTAAAGGAAAGCCCACTAATGGCTGGCTGAAGTACACTCTGATCGTACGTCCAACCTGCACAATCTTTCGTTTTTTTAACAAAAAAAAGAAGAAGAACAACATTATTTGTTTTCCTACTGCAGCCGATTGAAGCAAAACCCGGGGCCTTGTTGAGAAAAGAAAACCCCAACCCCCCCCGCCACAAAGAAAAAAGAAGAACAAAGCAAAACATGCCTACCATAGTCCATAGCACTTGACCGCCTCCTTGCGCACTGCCCTCTTTACGTCACCCTTGGCGGCAGCAAGCACAGGAATAACCTGCAAAGTTGTGCAAACACATTTCAATTTCAACTTCCAACTTCAAAATTTGAAATGAACTTGGACCACCATTGTCTGCAGGTGCACACTAAGCTTTTTTTGTTTTGCTTTTTTTTCCAAAAAGGGGAATGGCCTTGAGATGTCATACATAGCCAAACTGACCAGCCCCAGGTAATCCAGAAGTTTACTCCTCCTCCTCCTCCTCCTCCTCCTCCTCTCCTCCTCATCTTCTTCTTATTCTTCTTCTTCTCCTTCTTCTCCTTCTCCTTCTTCTTCTGTGATTCTGACCGTGAATAAGGAGAAGAAGGAGAAGAAGGAGAAGAAGAAGGAGGAGGAGGAGGAGGAAACTCCCTTGCTTCCCTTTTTCTTCCTTTCGTACTCGTTTCCCTACCGCATTCTTTCCCTACCGCATTCTTCGCTCCATCTTTGGTCAAAACTTCATGTGTGCAATGCGTCATCGTTCCAGGAATGTGTCTTCACATAAATAATGTTAATCAGTGGACGGTGGGATGTGCAATTTGAAAAGTCTGTTGAGGTGATGACCTGCTTCTGAGGTAGTCCGGATGAGCATTTTGAAAAGTATGTCGAGGTAATGACTTGGCTCTGTGGTAGTCCAGATGGCAGCATGGCCTTTCTGCTACAGTTTGAACACACCCCCTTCACCCATGCACTCACAGGTACTTTGCTTCTACCTCCCTCTCCCCCTCCCCACCCCCAACCACCAATGTAGGTCTCACACAGAGACACAAACACACACACAGGGGAAAACAAACACTGGCGCCCCTCCATGCCCCCCTCTTTGCCCTGACACACACTAACTCACATCAGCAACCCCTCAACCAGCCCCGTCACACATGGTCAGGGAGAATCTGCAGGCATAGGTCACCTTAGATAACCATTTTCCTCTCCACCAGCTCTCAGCTCTCTCTCTCTCTCTCTCTCTCTCTCTCTCTCTCTCTCTCTCTCTCTCTCTCTCTCTCTCTCTCTCTCTCTCTCT